CCGTGAGTGTCGTTCCCCCTTGATTCTGAAGTAGGGACTGGGTGGCCCCTCCAGCAAGCGCTACCTCTGTAGCGGCGAGGTCCTGGTCTCTATCCTCGCGGGCGCGCACAGCATAAAGACCCGCCGGCTCATCCGGACTTGCCTCCTCCAGAGCTTGATCCTCCTCCACTGCCGTTGCAACCGTAGCTATGGCCTTGATCGAAGGTTTCTCAGAGGTGGAGTGGGCCGTTGGAATCGCCTGACGAATGGCATCCAGGTTATTCTGAAGGGTTGCCACCGTCACGGATGTTCCCTGAAGGACCTGGCCTGCCTTTGGTGCTGGAGCCTCAGACCTGCCTGCGGCTGGAACCTCTGGAGGTTGACTGCCCGGGGCTTGGACAGCCTTCAAAAGCTTTGCCGCATCATCGAGAAGAGCCTGCACCTGACTTGAGTTGCTGTCCGGCACTGCAGCAACCGCCGCTGCCGGGTTTATCCGGCTTATCAGGCCTGCGAGGCGGCGCCGAAGGGGAAGCCTTTGGTGGGACATTGGCCGCGGACAGGACGCCATTTGCTGGCCCGTGCCACCGCACGACATACAACGGAACTTCTTATCCCTATCAGGAATGTCTTGCTAGTTGTGTTGGGGCACTTGTCTCCCCTGTTGAATCCTATATCCTGGACGAAAAACTTGCAGGCACCCTGAGGAACTGTGATCCTAGAATCTCCTGGCTTGGCGGCTGGACCCTCAGACTTCCCAGCGCCCTGACCTCCACCAGGCTGGTTGTCCGCAGCATTCACCGCTGCAGCGGAAGGGGACGCTTTGGGCTGCAGGGCCTGAGTCCTAGCCATGGCCTCCAGTTCAGAAAGCAAGGCTGCATGCAGCTGGTGAACAATCTCCACCATAGGTGCAGTCTCGGCTCTCAACGCTGCCTTTACAAGGCCGATCCTAAACTGAACCTCAGCATTGCTTTCAAGCACTGTTTTGACGATATTCAGGAGTGTCTTAACAAGGATCACCGGATAAGGCAGCGCACCTCCAAGAGCTTCAGTCCTTGACAGCCACCTCCTCCACTGACGAGGAGAATCCAGGGCAGCCTGAGGAGTAGTTGCAACAGTGGTGTGTTGGCTGGCGCAGCCCATGCTCCCTTTCCTGCACGCTTTTTGGAGCATACAAGGTGGAGTGGCGACTTGAGCCGACTCTGCACGAGCTCCTCTCACACCTGTTTGGGAGCAGCGGTTCTGAGGAGAGCCTCCAAGTGCTTGGCATGCCGGGACCACACTGGCGCCTTTAGCTCAGGCGTTTCCACTGGATTGAGCGAAATCCGCCCCATTGGGTCACTGGCCAGATACCTCCGGTAGACTTCTTCTACCTCTCGAGTGAGAAGGCTCCAGTACTGAGCCCATGGTGGACGTCATATCCTCAACCAGGGGAGCCACGAGGTGAAGCCAATCGGCAAACGCAAGCGACAGCTCTGGGAGCTTCGGAAGCTCCGACCACGAGTGTTTCACCTGCTCTGCCTTTCCTTCTATGGGCGACCAGGTACCACTGTGCTACGAAATCAAAGCCTGAAGACCTGCCAGAATCCCAGCTGCATCTGGAGATAGACCCCCGGAGCTAGTCCCTTGGTTGATACCACTGGCGTCTAACGCTCTCTGCATAAAGCCTTGCCACGGCCATTGAGACTGAGCACTAGGGCTATCGCCTTGCGGACCTGGTTGGACACCTGAAGCCTGCGGAAGTGCACCTAGCTGTGCGCCTGAAGCTTGCGGAAGTGCACCTAGCTGTGTGCCTGATGTCTGCGGAAGTGCACCTGTAAGCGGCACGTGACCTGGCGGCACACCTGAAGCCTGCGAGAATGCACCTTGCATGGGCGCCTGACCTGGCTGCACACCAGAAGCCTGCGAGAGGACACTTTGCAAAGCCACCTGACCTGGCTGCACACTTGAAGCCTGTGGGGGTGCACTTTGCCTAGGCGCATGACATGGCTGCACACCTGCAGCCAGTGGGAGTGCACCTTGCATCAGCACCTGGCCTGACTGCACGCCTGAAGCCTGTGGGAGTGCACCTTGCATTGACACCTGACCTGGCTGCACGCCTGAAGCCTGTGGAAGTGCACCTGGCATCGGCACTTGACCTGGTTGCACGCCTGAAGATTGTGGAAGCGCACCTTGTATCGGCACCTGACCTGGTTGAAAACCTGCACCTTGGACGGCTCCTGGCGGCGAAACCTGACCTGGGCTTGTGCGAGGCACCTGTACTTCTCCCGGCATTCCTGAAGGAACCGTTCCATAGGAAGTTGTGCCAGGGCTTAGGGGGTTGGGATTTCCAGGCACGAACAACGAAAATGCACCCGAATCCAACCCAAATCACTCCATCATCTTAGCGGCCTGATTTCTCCATTCTGTTCCAGAGGCTTCTACCGGTCCAGGCCTTCGGCCCTCTAAGACTAAAGACCTATTCCTCAAGGCTTCATTCTCAGCAGCCAAAGCTCTCATCTGAGCTGCATGTTCCTTCCGAACTAACTCAAGCTGTCGATGGACCTCGGCCTGAATTTCTCCTGCACTGAACCCAAAAGAATCTGACCTGGCTGCCCCAGACGTCGGAGCTCCCATAGTTCCATACAGATGTGGAGCCTCCCTTTCTAGTTGTGCCGAGCGAAGTGCAGCTTCGGGTCCAAATAACTGTGGTTGTCTTTGCAGATGAATCATCTGAGCCACCTGAGCAGGGTCCTGCGGCGTCGTTCTCCCGGCAGAATGAAAAACGTCTCTCCCAGAAGAACTCCCCGACTCCGCAACACGACCTACCTGTACGGGCTCCGGAATGGGACCACTAGTGCGCAGAGGCACCTCCGAAGGAACTTCATTCGGACTCACAGTCGTCTTTTCCAAAGTATGATTCTCTGCAACATCCGAAACTTCAGCCTGCTCCTCATGGACCGCACCCACCACAGCCCTTCCAGAGAGCTCCCCGAAGTTGTCTGTTCACTTTGTTGAACAGCCCCATAGCCGTTCAACAAGCCTGCATTCCCAGAGAGTTCTGCGCGGGAGCGGCTTGGGAACTCATAACCTATAGAATCCAAAGAACAGGTTGGAGTCCTCAAGAGTCCAGGTTCCAGGATATCGAATTGTATACTTCTTGATTTGTGCCTTCCAGAAAAGTTCTGAATCCTCCAGGTGTTCGCCAAAGGCCTTACCGATGGCCCATGAATCCTCGAGACGCAGCTACCTTTTCAACGCACAACACAACATAAAGACTTCACCTGAGTTGTACAACTACTCAGACTGTGTGAGGTACCCAAGGCATGATGTGGGTGTCGGTTTTGGAATATAGGCTCCTTTAATGCGTCGGCTCCGGGGCTAATTCCAAATCTGACCAAAAATTTGGGGGTACTAATTAATGCGTTTTTTCTGGCTGGGGGGATTTTTTGGTGGCGGGGCTGTGCTGTTTGCTGATGGTCAATCTTAAGGCAGCCACGACCTAAACCCCCACCCAAACCCCCACCCAACCCTAAAACCCTGGCCCTGAAGCCCGAAAATCTCTTGCAGAATTGTTCCGCTTATTGGGGCGTCAGGAATGAGAATCTATACTACTATTGTACTACTACTGTACTACTATTGTACTATTGTACTGCTACTGTATGGCTTGCTTATTGGGGGGGGTGCTAGGGTGAACCGCCGAATTGGAAAATTGGACCCTTGCTCGACAAAGGCCTCTCCAGTACTAAAGCTTGTATAAAGAATTCAATTTTGGGTCGAATCTGGACCGACCCCCCTTTGGGAAGGGTTTAGGGCTTAGGGTTTAGGGTTTGTTAGGGTTTAGGAGTTTAGGATTCGTTAGGTATTACTACTGTATTACTGTACTACTGTCGTACTACTACTGTACTACTACTGTACTACTAGTGTACTACTGTACTACTATTGTACTACTACTGTACTATTACCGTACTACTATTGTACTACTGTACTATTATCGTACCACTACTGTACTACTATTGTACTACCACTGTACTACTGTTGTATTACTATTGTACTACTGCACTATTATTGCACTACTACTGTACTACTGTACTACTATTGTACTACGGTACTATAATCGTACTACTATTGTACTACTATTGTGCTACTATTGTACTACTGTACAATTATTGTACTACTACTGTACTATCTACCACTGTACTATTGTTGTATTACTACTACTATTGTATTACTACTGTTCTACTACTGTACTACTATTGTACTACGGTACTATTATCGTACTGCTGCTGTACTACTACATTGTGCTACTATTGTACTACTGTACCATTATTGTACCGCACCAAACTTCAGACGTGGTCGATTGTGGGTGGGAGTGTGGGAGTGTAGGTTACGGAGGCTAAAAGTGTTCAAAACGAAGGGTTTTTAGTCTTGGTAGTAATCTTGGAGTGATCGGGGCTTGGTTTCCAGCATTTGGTGATCCCCAGACCCCCCCGACCCCCGACCGCGCATTCGTAGACCCTGCACCCAAGCCAGCCCCCAAACCCCGGCACCTCCCAATTCCCTGCCACTCAGACCCCTGACCCCTGTCCGGCGTCACCGGCTCCATATTAAATAGAATGTATTTTTTTGGTTGGGGGGGGTACCCTACTATTAAACCGACACCCACATTACATTCCGAAGCCAAGCCTTGAATCCAGACGTCCACGGAATCAAACAGGTCACAACATGTTGGGAGGGAGGGGAAGGAGTGACTTTCTACGGATAGCAATAGTGAATGGTGGAGCCCGCGCAAGTAATTCCGATCTTCCCCAGGCTGCATGCAGTCGCCAACTTGAAATCAGGTGAGGTTTAACAGCCGGGATGAAGTGCCCCAGACCACTCAAAATGTCACTTGCATAGGCCTTGGGATCACCTTCTTCTTAAGCTCTTCGATGAAGGAAGCGACTTCGCGATCAAGCAAAAGAAAATTAGTTGGATAAACTTTGGAGTAAAAACGCCAAAAGTCAAGGAAACGTGAAACAGCAACAAGGTACCTGTCCTCAGTCTTAGGTGCGACAACCTGAGATGTAAGAGCTCCCAACACTCTCCGCTCTTCTTTTCGCTCCTTTTTCGTGCGCTTTCCGATTGCCACAAAGTGGGGTCGACGGACCTCCTTCCGAAGTCGGAGGCCACGAGGCCGCGAAGCGGAGCCCGATGTCCAGCCTGACATCCGTTCCCTTGAGTGAAACGTTGATCCCAACCAGCATCGCGAGGAACTGCGCGTCACTGAGCTTCTGCTCCGGGTCCAGGGCAAGTCGAACAGACAAGTCTGTGCAGGGCACCCCCAAGGGTCGGAAGTGCTCCACACCGACTTGCCCGCCCGACTTGGGACCGAATTTGGCGCTCCAGGACGCCTCTTGAAGCTAGCGAGCCCGTTGCTCCATCGTGTGCCAGACTTTCCATAGCTCGCTGCAGAGATCGCGCTGCTGGGCTTTTCTCAGCCCAGGGGCACCCTCAAGTTCACGAGGAGGCGGGCAACCAAAATGGCTGGCCAGGCTCCTCCAAGCATCTGTTGTATTTGATCCTCGGTCACCTTCTGCTTGAAGTTCAGGTGGTCCGCTGTGTACCCAAAAAAACGAAGCTGCTCGTCTGAGGTGAGCCGACGGATCCCCGAACTTCCCTTGACCATGTTCGGCTCTGCATAGTGAAAAGGAGGGAGGCGCCATGCATCCTCTTTCCATCGTCCAAGGGCTCGGCTATCAAGGTCTTCTAGCCCCGCTGTGTCTGGAGGTGATCGCTTGGACTCGGGCCGACCGAAACTGAAGGAGGCCTCGTTGGGCTTGTCAAGCTTCACGCAGCGCGGCTTCAGAAACCACTCAAGGGGCGGCCGCTCAGTGTCAAGTCAGGCTAGGAGGTTGCCCGCGCCCTCGCGGGGGCTTCAACTGCATGTCACCTGCTGTGTCCACATTGATGCCGCGCAGCCACCACAGCCGAAGGAGTTGGGCCCCTTCCACAAAGTAAGCCCCGCTGTCCAGCTTCTCGTTGGTCCTGTTCCGCGCGACCTCGTTCATCATCAAATTTTCGTAGATCTCGACAACCTCCCAGCGAGGAAGTTTAACTGCTCGGCTGGCATCCTCGAGCCAGCCCCGTAGCTTGACCAATTCATCGAAAAACGTCGGCACCTCCCGTTGAGGAGGCACTCTGGCCAGGGCTCTTGTTGGGCCATCCTCCCCCCAGAAAACTTTGTTGACCTTCGGGAGGCACCGCTCTTCACATCCTCAAAGGTGAGCTTACCAATATCTCCATATATGAGCACGTACCCACACTGGCATCTCACCAACTTCGTTCCGAGCTCGTCCGTGTCGATATAGATCAGGCCCTGGGGCTGGAGGCCCAGGAGCTCGCAGGCTTTCCTCAGCCCTACGATGCCCCCAAATCCTCTTAGAATGAGGACACTGTCGCAGGCACCTCCCAAATCGTCACCGGGTGGCATTTGGCCCGTCCCCGCGAGGACAAGCCAGTTGGTATACAGGCCCCACCTCCCTCCAAAGACGCATCCGTGGCATAGACCTGGGGTGCCACCTGCATCCGTTGGTCCATCCAGTGCATGGGCAGTGATATCATCCCCAAGAGCAACTCATCCTCAGCCTCCAGGCTGATTCGGCGGTTTCCTGGTCCCTCTGAAATCTCCCGGTACACCTGGTCAAAGAGGCAAGCAAGCGGCCGGCAGAACTGCACTGAGTGCATGGCTTTCCCCACAATCGAGAGAAGCTCCTGGGAGCCTCAGTTAGGTAAGGCCATGCCCCACTTTTCTTGGCGAGCCGCTCACCGCTCATTCGTTTTTCCCTAGGGTATTCCATACACTTTTCAGTTTTCTATAAACTTTTGCCTAATTTTGACTTTAGAACCTATAAGCATTATTTCCAATTAGATTATTAACAAAAAAGATAAAGTTTGCAATAAATTTTGCTAAATTTTTCAATAAACTCAACGAGATTTATCCTAAGGGTTTTATAACAAAATATTTGTGAGAACTTATTGTAAAAGTTTGGTGTTTAGAACTTGTAAAACTTTTAAATATCATTTTCATATAGACCCTTTAGTTCTTTTTGGAGTTCGATTTGTTTTTCAAAATACTTCATCTCCTTATCTAAATGGTCCTGTTCTTCCTTTTCCGGTTGTACATTGCTGCTTAATTTCCTTAGTTTTACTTTCCCTGCTTTCTTTGATGATTTCTGGTTTTCTAATTAGTGATTTGCCTGTTTATAGAGTATTTCAAACAATTCATCTTGAACCGATTCTTTCATATACATATATAAGACTCTATATTTTGGTTTTTAAAACTTTTAAAAGTTCTTGATATAAATTCATATTTACAAAGGGGGCTGTAAATATGAAGTTATGAACTCGTGACAAACTACTTAGGCGCTAACCTATGTAACGCTATTAAATGCCTCGCAATACTCCCCTTTCTTGTGATGCATTCGAATGTGAAACAAACAAGGTCGTAATAGGGGCTCTCTCTTCTTCTGTTTCATTTTATGCTGGTAATACTGAACTATACACTGTTGGGGGTTTATTTAAATCCCCAAGAGTTAAAAACCTGAAAATTCTTATCTGTCAATATATATTGTATTTTATTCTTAAATATCAGTTTAACATATTTAGATTATTCTGATTTATGATATCAATATCTTCGTTAATTTCATCTGTATCCTTTTTCATTAAGTGTTAAAGAACGGGCTTCACTAAGCTTCCTACTCTCAAACTGAAGCGGTCACTTTTCCTTGTGGGTCACTGTGTCCGCTGGTCTCGAGCCTAGCACGTCGCGTGTGCGTGACGGCTGTTCCTGTACATTAACTGCACTGCACTAACTGTGTTACTGTTCCTGGCAAGATGTTTAACACCCCGCCTTCGGAGTTAGCGAAAGTTCCTCGACTGAGGTGACTCCGACTTTTCCTGTCAACAGTAAACACACTGCAGTTCCTTTTCACTTGCAAAACAAACACTCTGCCTCATCGCAAACATATGTTCCTATGTTCACTCGCAATCCTCTCCAAGGTTGCTCGACTGTACAAAAGACGTTCCTTTACTATACTCAGATCACCACAGAAACAAAAAGGGCTGTGCCACGGTTCCTGTGTCCTGCTTCTTCTTTCCTCGGCTCTCTGGCCTCAGTACTGCTCGCTGTTCCTTTTCTTCACTGGAAGGTCACTTCGCCGTCGTCGACCTTGTAGACTTTTACTCCTTCTTCTTCGTTGGTGACTTCCTTCTGTTCCTTGAGTTCTTGTTCTAGCCACTCTGCACGCTGCCTTGCTTGTGACATGCACTTCTCTTTTCCTTGCTTGTCTCTTGATCCTGCTTTCCAACCTGTTTCCCTTGATCCGGAATACCAGTACCACTGCGTCTTGGCTTCGTTCCACTTCCACTGGTAGTTCCTGTTCTGGAAACCGTAGACTGCAAACCAGTTTCCTTCAAACTCTCCTTTTCCTTTGCCCTTCATGAACGATTCTTCGTTCACTGGTCCTTTGGCGGAAAGTTCTGGGTCGTCCTTTCCTCCTTTCCTTTGCTGCTGCTGTGTGACACTCGGTGGCTCCTTTCCTGTTCCTTTTCCTTCTGGCTTCTCCTCTTCCTTTGCTGGTGTTGCTGGTTGTGTCTGGTTCCGTGGGTGCCTGCGACCCGGCTGCTGATCCTCTGCTCTCAAGCTCCTGTGTAAGGCTTGCAATTCTTTCTTTATCCTCTTTGCGTTCCTTCATCATCTCCTTCATCATTTCTTCAAGCTTCTGGATCCTGTCTGCTTCTCCTGATCCTGTTGCTGTTGTTGCTGCTGCCTTCTTTTCTGCTTCCTTCTTGGCAATGTACGCTGACGCTGCCTTTTGGTCTTCCTCTCTTTTCTTCCTGGCTTCCTTCTCCTTTCTTTTCTTCTCCTGTTCCTTTCTTTCCTTTTCCTCTTTGGCTGCTGCGGCTGCTGCTTCTGTCTCCTCCTTTTCCTTTGCCTCTCTTTCTGCTTTTGCTTTGGCTGCCGCTTCTACCTCTCGCCTTCTCTCGGCGGCTGCTGCGGCTTCTGCTTTTGCCTCCTCTCTGTCTCGCTTTTCCTGCTCTTCTGCTGCTTCTTCCAAAATCCTTCTTGCTTTGGCAATCTGCTCTTCCTTTGCCTTCTTCTCCTCTTCTGCTTTGGCTTTCGCTTCCTTCTGCTCCTTTGAGATCCTGTCCTGTTCGTTCCAATATTTGCGATCATCTTCGTCTCGAGGTCGAAATCCTGAGCTTTCTGCTCTTGCCTTTGGCTTTCCTTTTCCTTTTCCTTCCTTCTTTCCTTTTGTTCCCTTCTCGTGCTTGTACGTGTAGTCCTTGTCGATGTGGATCTTTTCTCCTGTGACTCTGTGCTGCTTGTAGATCTCGCCGTTCTCGGAGTATTCCTTCCACTCGCTGCTGTAGTCGTAGGGGTACGGAAACTGCTTCTTTTCCTCTTCTTTTTCCTTTAGCCTTTGCTTGCTTCTGGCATTGATCTCCGCGATCTTCTTCTTCCTTCTTTCTTCCTTTGCTTCCTCGCTCTCTTCTTCCTCTGCTGCTGCCGTTCCTTCTTCTGCTTTGGCTTCTTCGGGGTACTCCCCGGGATCTTCTCCTCCAACGTAGCTGTCCACGTAGGCCTCGTTCTCGTTCTCGTCGAAGTAGTCCTGGCTTTCTTCCTGTTCCTGGAGTCTGTCGAAGTAGCTCCTGTCTGACCAGTTCCTTATATCGTCTTCTCCTTTGTGTTCCTGGGAGGTAGGTGACGTAGCTCTCGAAGGTGCTGTTCCTTGTCCGTGTCCTTCACGACGTAGTTCACCTTCTAGTTCTCGGTCCTTGGCTTCTCTTTTCCTTTGTTCCTCTTCGTCTTCTTCTTCTTCTTGCTGCTGTTCGTAGAAGTCCTGCATCATCTGGTTCAGCTGTTCCTTCACGGAATCACATGTACCTAGGACGAAGTTCATGTGTTCCTTGACCTGCTTCCGGTCTCTTTCGTTCTCTTCGGCCATTTCCTGAACCTGGTGCTTCACGCTGTAGATCTGGGATGTCAAACTTTCCACACATCCCGCAACGTGTTCCTGACTTTTGCGCAAACGCGCAGCTTCCTCTGTGTTCTTCCTGATCGACTCCGCGATCAAGTTCCTTTCTTCTGTAGCAGTCTTCAACGTGACTGCCGCTTCCTTCAAGGTCTGAAGTTCCTTGACGATCTCTTCTGAGCTTTTGCTTGAGCTCGCGCTCGCTTCCATGGCTGTTGAGGTTCCTGGTAAGGTGCCTTGACCTGCTACTGGGCGTACTAGTTCCTGGATACCTGAGCGTTCTGCGAGTGTTCCGCAGAGTTCCTTGAGCTGCGAAAGCATCTCACTACATGTTGTTCCATGCGCTGTTCCTGCAAACATTCCTAGCTCACATGCACTCGTGTCACTGCATATGACGTCCTGCTCGCATGCACTTGCACAACAGAAAACATGTTCCTGAAAGTCTGCCTGAAACTCTTCTTCCTGAACACAACTCTCAAAACACTGTTCCTTGAAACTCTGAATCTGAAGACTGTCCGAAATACCTGAAATTCCTGCAAACAACAAAGCTGCAAAAGACAAAGTTCCTGGGCTCTTGATCATCCTTACAACTGCTTTAGCTTGTGTTTGGGCCTTGTGTTCCTTGAGCTCTTCTCTACCTACTGGTTCGTTCTCGCTGGTCTGAAAACCTAGCCAGTGTAACAACAGTCTGATACGCTTCGCTGAAAGGGGCTTGGTTCCTATATCAGCTGTGTTTTCCTTGGTTCCTACTGGGTGAACACTAATTGTTCCTTCTTTGTGGAGGTCTTGAAGAAAAAGGGTCCTGATCTGCAAATGCTTGACTCTACCTACACCTTGCCTTGTAATAATTCCTCTATCTGCAGAAGAATCCATATACAAGTGTACCTTGCATTGTTTCCTGGTCAAGAATTCCACTGCTTCCTTCAACAAGATAGAATCTGACGCTGCTGACGCTCCTGCGTAGTACTCTGCTTCACCACTGCTCAAGCTAACCGACTTCTGGTTCCTAGAAAAAGAGTAAATGCACTGACCGTCTAAGCAAACAATTCCTGAAGATGTTGAGCGCCTTGTGTCCTTCTTTCCTGCCCAATCTGAATCACTGAAGACTTCCAAAAGGTGGTGTTCCTTGGGCCTTGTTCCTGTAAAGTCGTAGTTACCATTCCTAATGGATTCATTGAGGTTACTGAGTCCTCTGGGTGTCTTCCTGTACACAAGATGGTATCCTTCAGTTCTCGACATGTACTGCACTAGGTGGACTAAGTGCTTCCAAGAACCATGTGTTGGTTCCGACATCTTGGAGGCTAAACCTCTCACGGTAAACTGCACGTCAGGGCGGTCCTGACTGACATACAAGAGTATGCCAACGCTCTTCCTGAACGATGCTGCTTGTTCCTGGTTCAAGGTCTGAGTGTTGTCCTGTTCCTGCGACTCTTGGGTGCACGGAGTTGGCTTTGAGGCTTTGCTGGTAAGCTTCAGTTCTTCCTTAAGCTTCACAAGATACTTCGGGTCACTCGTGATGTGGAGCTCGTGATTGTGGTAGCTGAATTTCCTTTTGAGGAATCGGATTGTCTGGTGTGACTCTCCTACTTCAAGTTCCTGCTCTGTCAAGAAGGGGCCTTCAACCTTTAGCTCGTAGGTTTCTCTTAGCTTTCCTAGCTTTGGGCTCTAGGTGCCTTGTTTTCCCTGCTGCCTGAATGTCATCTACATGCA